TGGTGATCTAAGTTGGAGAGGTATTTAGGAGAATCAGCAGCTACAGCTGGCTGTGGTTGAAAACTGTTAAGAGGATATAATCACCAAAAAAGACTATGGAGAGAGAAAAGAACAGATACTCTCTGGAAGGAAGTGCAGAAGAAGAAGGAGAGTGAGCCTTTAAAAAGGGGAGACAGGAATGAGCAGCCGGCGAAATGGAGAATGAGGAGCATGTAGTATCATAGACCCTAGTTCAATAGCATAAAAGGGAAGAAGACAAATTAGATGTTTGAGGCATGGAGTCAGAAAGGAAGAAGTGGGGACAGCCAGTATAATACTCTTTAGAGAAGTTTCGATCTTATGAGTAGGAGAGTGGAGAGCTGCTAGATGGATATGTAAAGTGTTGTAAAGAAATGTTTGGAGTTTTCTTCCTTTTGTTTTTTGAGGTTGGGAGAGAGTAGAATAGTTTTATTTGTGTCGGGGAAGGAAGTAGGAGAAGAGTTCGAATATACAGGGGAGATAGATATCCCAGAGGTGAGAGAAGAGATTGGGATTGGTGTCCAGATGGAGGGATTAGAAACAAAGGAGGAAGTTTACTTTCATTATAGATTAATGGTTGCCTCTTTTTTGTTAGTCTCAGAGGTAACCAATGATAGTCCTGAGCAATATCTGGCTTGGTATTTTTCTCGATGAAACTGTTTTGCCAGTGGATTGAATTTTCAAAAGATGAAAAAGTTAGATATTTTAAATATAAAGGTAAGGATTTAAAAATATGTATCTTTCCTTTTTTTTTTTTGAGATGGAGTTTCACTCTTGTTACCCAGGCTGGAGTGCAATGGCGCGATCTCGGCTCACGGCAACTTCCGCCTCCTGGGTTCAAGCAATTCTCCTGCCTCAGCCTAGCTGCGATTACAGGCACATGCCACCATGCCCAGCTAATTTTTTGTATTTTTAGTAGAGACGGGGTTTCACCATGTTGACCAGGATGGTCTCGATCTCGACCTCGTGATCCACCCGCCTCAGCCTCCCAAAGTGCTGGGATTACAGGCTTGAGCCACCGCGCCCGGCTCTAAAAATATGTATCTTTAAGGAGCTGCAGTGGCTCAGGCCAGTTGTCCTGGTGCTTGAGGCGAGGCTATGTGTTTGAGGCTATGCTGGGCAACTTAAGAACCTGTCATTCATTTAAAAAATAAATAAATAAAAATATGTATCTTTAAACTTGCTTTCAAACCTTGCTGAAAACCAGAGTGGGATCCAGAAATGTCCTTAAATGAATTAAAGAATAAAGCCAATTTTCTTTCAGTTCTCAGAATTTTGTGACTCTTGAGTTGCAGCACATTAGGCCTAAGGTACAAGATTAGCTCACTTGTTACAATAAAAAAATCTTAGGGATTTCATAGATTTATCCATCCGAGAAAAAAGGGAAACTGCTTAAAGAAAAGGCAGTGGTGCCAAGGCATATCGTTTGATTGGTTAGATTCAGAGTAAAAAGCAACACTCAGTTGCCTGTGTGGTTAGCATGAAATAAGGCAGCAAAGTGTCACTTTTATTTTCAATAATCACACTTGCAAGTTTTCAGTAAAGGACCCTCACTATATTGGCGTATTTCATCTTTATAAAATCCTTTGATATCGGAGGGACAGATTTTTGTCTCTAAAAATAATGCCAGTAAGTTATTGCACATTTTTTGGAATTGTAGCAAAAATAAATAAATAAATAAATAAATAATAAAAAGCACCATTTTCATTTTCTTCTCACCCCCATCTTGGTATTTGTACCCAAGAAACTCCCCACAATTCTAGTTACTGTGCTTAAAGAGCTAATAGAATTGGAGAAAATTCAAAATAATATTAGTTCAATTCCAAAAGTGTATTTTTTAGTGCCAAATCTGTACCATTCACTGTCTTACAGGATTCTGCAAAGAATATGACCCCCTACTGCACCTCAGTGAGCTTATAACATAGAAGGGGAGGAAGATTTGTAAATAGTGATTATAATACTGGGAGATAAAGGTAGCAGTGAAGGTCTGCAGTATACAGAGGTAGCAGAGAAAAGGGTCAGAAACCACTTCCCAAAGGATGGGATAAGTCAACTAGGCTTTAAAGAATGATAGGATTTCTCAGGTGGGCAAAGGAACCAATGATACTAGCAACAGAAGGGAATGTTCATATAAACCTTAGAGATATGAAATATCATGGTATATTTAGTAAATTACAAGTAGCTCAGTGTTAGTGAAACATCATCATAAGTGGTTGAATATGAGGCTGGAGTTTTACAGGGACAGATTCATGGTTTTTGATGATCACTCTGGAGGGTGATGCTGCTGGCAGGGAAGATACCAGCTAAGAGGCTCCAGAAAGACTTCCAGACAGGATATGATAAGGGCCTGAATTGAAAAGAGGACTGTTAGGGATGAAGAGAAGTCAGATATGAGGGAGGAATAAATGAGATAAAGCATCTTGAATTGAATGCTTGATTCATTGTGGGATAACGGAAGAAGAAATTGTTGAAGTGGACAGGCCTGGGGAGCTCCTGCTTCATAAGGAAAAGTTAAACTAAATAAGATATTTTGATCTGGAGAGGTAGAGGCTGAGAAGCAATAAAGTAAAATTCCCATTTTGAAGTCTGTCAATTGAATATTGACTGGATTATCGGTGACAACTAGAACTAATGGTCACCCCTCACACATGGCAAAGGTAAATATGGGATAGACAAGAATGCTTAGTATTTTATAAAGCAAGCATTAAATTTATGGCAATATAGGCCCTAATTCCCCCCAAAATAAATGTATTCAACATAGTTTATTACAAGCTTACATCTTTACTGAGAAATCAGGTTGTTCTCTCTGAATGTGAAGCTGATATTGTGAAGGCGAATCTAGCTATCTGTTTCCTGATTCTTCAGTAGGTAAACAGCAGTGGATGGTCCATAGGTTTAGATCCAAAATTAAAATGTTTGCAGATAAATATCCTAGCCAGTGATTATAAAAGCAATTAAAAGTAGCTCAATATTAGTGGAATACCATTTTAAGTAGTTGAATATGATGCCAGAGTTTTACAGGGACTAATGAATTGATCAGCAATTTAGATTCATGGTATCCATTTTTAGAGTTTGATATTCTGGAAGAGTAGTTCTCCAACTAAAAAGTCTCACTCTTTATACTCTTAAAACTCAAATAACTTTTATTTATGTAGCTTACATCTGTTGACACTATTAGAAATTAAAACTGAGAAACATATTCATTAATTCATTTTAGAATGAAAACATTTATTCATCACATATTAATATAACTATTTTCCAAAGGAAAAAAATAGCAATAGGAGAATTGCTTTATATTTGTGCAGATCTCTTTAGTTAGCTTAATAGAAGACAGCTGGGTTCTCATATGTATCTGCTTCCACATTTGGTCTATTGCAATATCATACATTACATAACTCCTGGAAAATACCATATATTCAAGAGAAAAGAGAGTGAAAAAGGTAGGTGATGGTTATTATGCAAATGTTTCTGACTTTGTGGATCCACTAACAATAGCAGTTTGAAATAGAAATCTTTGTTTCATATACAAGGTATTCTTTACTTCCATTCCATCCTTTGTGGAAGTCAATCCTCCTAAGAATATTTCACTGTTATTCACTGCCCTTGTCCTGTACCTGTAAAGGCCTGTGATCTATCTACAGATAAATGAATTCAAGTGCAAAGCAGAATTGGTTAGCCTTCTGTGACCTTTTATCCTTTCCAGTCTAATGAAGCATTAAGTTCATCTAGCCCTGTTATCTCTATTCTTCTTCATAACTTCTCATTTTATTGATTAAGTTCAAACAAATTTTTCTTTGAACTAGAGTCTGGGGAAGGGAAAAGTAAGACTATAGTTGTGACCCTTTCTTTCTTCTTGGAAGATTTAGTAGAGGGAAGGGAAACCTGGAGTTTACCCTCCTTCAAAAAAGGAAATAATGTATACCAAAGACCACTTCCTGGAGGCATATCTAGAATTATAAAGAATAATTAACTCTAGACAGCACTTCAAGATTGATCTCTGCTTTGGAAATACATGAGCCTACAAATAGTCTCTTGAGTTTCTCTCTGCCTTTTGTTTCAGATGCATCCTTGGCCTTCTCTTTCCTTTCTCATTCTGCTCCATCAATACCAACTTCATCTGATTCCAAACACAGAGTGATATGGCTGTGGCATAAGAACTAAGTCTTTGTTTTCTTTAAGATATCTCTAGACTCTCCGTTCCCACTGCTACCACCCAGTTCTCTGATCCCTGTTTAGTAGTCTGGTGGACTTTTGACTTGAGACTCTTTTTTCAGTCCATCCTGATTAATTTTTTCCATACATTGTTATTATCAGGATATGCCTTTACTCAGAAATCTTCAGTGGTGCCTTAATTTGTACCATGATACAAATCTTTTTTATCTGTGTTCTCCATCAGCTTTCCTGTAAACTCTTAATCTGAAATATTTTGCAGTAGTCTTGGCTGTTTTCTTCACAATCCTATGAATGCAAGCTTCACATTTCTTACCTCTGTGCTTGTCTTCATGTTACTCTTTTCACTTTTAATGTTCTGTTCCCTCCCACCACCACCCCCATCTAAATCCAATGGATTCTTCAAAAGCGAATTCAAGACTAATTCCTGTAAATGGTTTTTACCTGACTAGTTTGTCTTTATTTCTTTCTCCTCTAAAATACAATAGTATTTGACATTTGTACCGCACAGTTTAGTATGTAATTACATACCATTGTTTATGTTTGTTTCATATGTTCATTTTTTATCTCCAAATAGATAAGTTTCTTGTGAACCTATTTAGAATTTAATTTTGGGAAAGACCAGACTCCTTAAATTGAGCAACTGCCTAGTGGTTTTTCCAAAATCATTCACCAAATTATCTTCGTGCTAGGTATGTTAGGTTGGTCTTACATCTCAGTAAGGGTTCAACGCTAATAAGTAGTATCTAGCATAATGTTACTTCTGGTATTTTTGTGCACTTATTCTGAATTTCTCAAACTTTATCTTATAGCGATTTCTGCATTTGAAGTTCAGCCAGTTTCTACTGAGGTCCATGAAGGTGGAGTTGCTCGATTTGCATGCAAGATTTCGTCCAACCCTCCTGCAGTCATAACATGGGAGTTCAATCGGACAACTCTGCCTATGACTCTGGACAGGTAGATGTAGATTTTGTCTTTGAAGATGATATGGGAGTAATCCAGACTTCATGTGAGATTATATAGGGAGATAAACCATTACGGGCCTCATTTTTATTTAGGGCAGTAATAACTGATTGCTTAAGACATTTCAAACTTAGCCAAAGAATTAGATCATCAGTCTCTGGCATATGGGGCATGATTCTTGATTCACATCAGCATTTAAATAGATTCTCCTACTGAGCCTTTCCTCAACCATCTGTTCTGACCACGAGTATCTGGACTGCAGCCCAAAGTTTTAGGAAACCAAATTACATTCTCATTGCTAGGAAGGGCAGTGGTGGTGTAGCTACCCACTCCTGTCTCTGCCTTCCACTTCCCAACCCCCTCTTTATGCAAATGAACACACATACACATGTGCACATGCACACATCGAGTATTCTGAGGTGATTGGAATTTAGGGATCAAGAACTTGATAGCAACTCCAAAATATTTGATTCCTGTCCTGCTCCTGAGTAGGCAAGCATCATTTGCTAACGTGGTAAAGTACTAAAATGGAATAAGTTATTCATGGAAGTCCTTTATTTAAAAAAACAACAACAAACTACATATGTCTTAGACAATATATGGATATTAATAGGTAAAAAATCAGGAATTAAAAAAAATATATACTAAACTCTGGGCCACCAGCTAGCTAAATCAAAGCTGGAATGTCAAATGTGACTCTGTAAAATTCGACTCATAGATTGCACAAACCAAATCATGTTGGATTGTTTATGTTATAGAGAGCTTTAGTGACCCAAATGAGAACAGTAGAATCAAGCTAGTATTTTTAAAGGTCTTTAAAGTATTGCTTCTAGCACTGTAAAAAGATTGAGTGTATTAATTCCTATCATTGAATATGATAAATAAAATATAAAATCTAGGCCAGGTGCAGTGGCTCACACCTGTAATTCCAGCACTTTGGGAGGCCAAGATGGGCAGATCACCTGAGATTAGGAGTTCGAGACCAGTCTGGCCAACATGGTGAAACCCCATTTCTCCTAAAAATGCAAAAATTAGCCAAACATGGTGGCGTATGCCTGTAATCCCAGCTACTTGGTAGGCTGAGGTAAGAGAATCGCTTGAACCTGGGAGATAGAGGTTGCAGTGAACAAAAAAAGATCATGCCATTGTACTCCAGCCTAGGCAACGAGCAAAACTCTGTCTTAAAAATAAATAAATAAATAAATAAATAAATAAATAAATAAATAAATACAGTAAAATATAAAATCTCCTACAAAAAGTTTAGTTATCTTTCTCTTATAACAGGATAACTACCCTACCAACAGGAGTATTGCAGATCTATGATGTCGACCAGATGGATTCTGGGAATTATCGCTGTGTTGCTGCCACTGTAGCTCACCGACGTAAAAGTATGGAGGCCTCACTAACTGTGATTCCAGGTACCATTCAGAGTGGCTTTTTCCATTTTTATGACATTGTATTGGTGCAGTTATTACTTTTTCTCCTCTGCTGTAGTAGTGTACCATAAAGTAGAATTTCATTTAAATTATTATCTATTTGAAAAATGGTCATTTTCACTTACTAAGCAACTCCTCTTTTATAGGCTAATTTTCTATGTCATATCAACATCTTTAAGAAATATTCAATCTTAAGAAAGATTAACAAATATTCAGTCTTGGCTGGGCATGGTGGCTCATGCCTGTAATCCCAGTGCTTTGGAGGCTGAGGTGGGCAGATTACCTGTGATCAGGCGTTTGAGACCAGCCTGACAAATGTGGAGAAACTCCATCTCTACTAAAAATACAAAATTGGCCAGGTGTGGTGGCACATGCCTATAATTCCAACTACTTGGGAGGCAGAGGCAGGGGCATTACTTGAACCTGAGAGGCGGAGGTTGTGGTGAGCCGAGATCACACCATTGCACTCCAGCCTGGGCAACAAGAGTGAAACTCGGTCTCAAAAATAAATATTCAATCTTTGATAGTCAAGTCAACACCAAAATTCACCGATGCTCAGGTCCCTTATTTAAAATGGCATGGTATTTTAATTCACCTATGCACACCCTCCCGTATACTTTAAGTCATCTGTACATTACTTACAATACCTAATGATGTAAATTCTATATAAATCATTGTATTTTAAAATTTCTATTATTTTTATTTTTTTATTTTTTATTTTTATTTTTTGAGACGGAGTTTCGCTCTTGTTACCCAGGCTGGAGTGCAATGGCGCGATATCGACTCACCGCAACCTCTGCCTCCTGGGTTCAGGCAATTCTCCTGCCTCAGCCTCCTGAGTAGCTGGGATTACAGGCACGCGCCACCATGCCCAGCTAATTTTTTGTATTTTTAGTAGAGATGAGGTTTCACCATGTTGACCAGGTTGGTCTCGATCTCTCCACCTTGTGATCCACCCGCCTCAGCCTCCCAAAGTGCTGGGATTACAGGCTTGAGCCACCGTGCCCGGCTTATTTTTATTTTTTATTATTTTTTAAAATATTTTAAAACTGCAGTTGGTTGAATTTACAGATGTGCAGCCCACAGATACTGAGGGCTGGCTGTATTTCACTTTTATTTTTAAAAGGGTAAAATATAGAAAGCACAAAAAAGAGAATAACAATCATCCATTTCTACCAGAATTGTCTAATGTGGAAAAATACATATTTGTTTCCAGTCTTACATTCTTTTGCTTGTTGTTTAAAGAAATACCATAATTTGTATTTGTAAAAATGATACATGCCTTTTATAAAAAGTAATGTTTATAGAATAAAAAATACAAAACTTTTATATAAAACAATTTTTTAAAACACAAAAATAAAAGTTAAAAAAATCCCAGTCTCAATTCAAAAATTATCATTGTAAATATTAAGTGAACACAATTTTATATATTTTACCATACATTAATATAGGCAGAAGGGAAACTAGAGAGATGAATATAAAGAAATAGATATTTCATTAAAATGAAATGGATGCTAGTTTTTATCCTAAAGGTTAAGGTTATTTATATGTAGTGAAAGAAAACATGTATTGAAGACATTGTTGAACTTAACATAAATGTTTATTCTTCACAAGAGATACTGCTTTCTAACAGATCCTTTTAGGCTGAAAAATAAAAAGAAATTTGAAAAACATGAAGAGGCTGAAGTTACATATTTAATGCTATGCTTTAATTTTAGATAAATTAAATAAATTTTAGATAATTTAATTACATAAATACATGAGTGCTTGAACCTCAGTGAAAAGTAATGATAAGGAAACAACCTAAATGTTCATCAACTGATGGATGGATAAATAAAATGAGTTAATCTATACAATGGTATATATTGCTCAATAAAAAGGAATGAAGTATTTATACCTGTAACAACAGGGGTGAACCTTGAAAACATTATGCTAAGTGAAAAGAAGCCAGTCACAAAAGACCACATAATATGTGGCTCTGTTTACATGAAATATTTAGAATAGGCAAATTCAGAGAGACTGAAAGTAGATTAGTGGTTACTAGGCTGTGGAGGGAGGAATAGATTGGGAGTGACATGCATATGGGATTGTTTTGGGGAGTGATAAAAATGTTCTGAAATTAATTGTGGTAATAATTGTACAACTCTGAAAACTCTAAAAACCACTGAATTATATACTTAACTGGGTGAATTGTATGGTATGTGAGTTACATCTCAATAAAGTTGTTTTAGAAAAAAGAAAAGTGGGCGGGTGTGGTGGCTCAGGCCTGTAATCCCAGCACTTTGGGACGCCAAAGCCGATCACTTGAGGTCAGGAGTTCGAAACCAGCCTGTCCAACATGGCGAAACCCTATCTCTACTAAAAATACAAAATTAGCCAGGCATGTTGGTGCACGCCTGTAATCCCAGCTACTCCGGAGGCTGAGGCAGGAGAATCGCTTGAACCTGGGAGGCGGAAGTTGTAGTGAGCCAAGATCTCGCCACTGCACTCCAGCCTGGGCAGCAAGAGCAAAACTCCATCTCAAAAAAAAAAAGAGAAAAGTGAATGACAAGATTAAATGTCTTACTAATTTCATTTATTATATCTTATTTATAATTATTTTTATATTCTGTCTTTTCCTCCCCAAAGCTAAGGAGTCTAAATCCTTCCACACACCAACCATTATAGCAGGTCCACAAAACATAACAACGTCTCTTCATCAGACTGTAGTTTTGGAATGCATGGCCACAGGAAATCCCAAACCAATCATTTCTTGGAGCCGTCTTGGTAAGTCTTCTCAAGGAAAAAAACAAAAAAAGCCTTTTCCTTAAATTATTTTTTTAATGAAATTTATAAAGTATTTATTTTATATACAAAAACACAGGTTTGGCTACTCAATGTCTTAACTTTTTTGGCATTTCATTGTGTAGAGAAAAGGTCTTAATATGGAGAATTTTATACTTTTCATGATTGATTGCTTGGATAGTGGTCCTTTGATATAATTTCAGATTATATGTTACATTGTTTTAACTGAAGTATTCTCTTTGAAATAGATCACAAATCCATTGATGTCTTTAATACTCGGGTACTTGGAAATAGTAATCTTATGATATCTGATATCAAGCTACAACATGCTGGAGTTTATGTTTGTCGGGCCACTACCCCTGGAACACGTAACTTTACAGTTGCTATGGCAACTTTAACTGTATTAGGTATGTCCCTCTTATTCTGCGATCAGGGAAATCTTACATTTTAACATTTGCTGTTTTATCTCATTCGTAGATTACTTCTGCCTTTCCTGAGCTTTGTAGCATTGTAAAGATTGATATGAAGTGTTGTAATCCAATGATGAATTTCAGGAAAAAAAAATACTTACATTAAAATATAACTGTAGAGTCTTTCTGACGTCACCATCCTGTTTACATGCATGCCATTATGTTCCTTCTTATTTAAGCTTCCCTTCTAGCTCCTTCACACTTACCCACATATCCATATACCTATTTCCCAATTTAAAAATTTAATCTGTTGATTGTCTAACTACATTTGCAAGTGGCTGTATGTTGAGCTTAGTTAAGAAGGATGATAGGTACATATATTTTAAGTGTGTCTATATCAGGCGTCCCCAAACTTTTTACACAGGGGGCCAGTTCACTGTCCCTCAGACCGTTGGAGGGCTGCCACATACTGTGCTCCTCTCACTGACCACCAATGAAAGAGGTGCCCCTTTGCGGTGGGGTGGGGGAGGGGGCGGATAAATGGCCTCGGGACCGCATGCGGCCCGAAGGCCGTAGTTTGGGGATGCCTGGGATAGATGGTCTGAACAGGGAAATCATAGAGGAAGTGACCACTGAACAATGAGGAGAAAAGGCACCTGGAGAGTTGTATGGAGATGTAGATAGGATCTCAGCATGTCAGACATCTTCAGTAATGGGACTTGTTTCATTTGCTATATTCTTCCTTAACTATTTATATCATTCCTGTTAGGATCACAGAAACATTTTCTTTTTTCTTTAAAAATAGCTCCTCCTTCATTTGTTGAATGGCCAGAAAGTTTAACAAGACCTCGAGCTGGCACTGCTCGATTTGTGTGTCAGGCAGAAGGAATCCCGTCTCCCAAGATGTCATGGCTGAAAAATGGAAGGAAGATACATTCAAATGGTAGAATTAAAATGTACAACAGGTAGACTGTGTCACTTTGCTACCATTTTATATATGATATAATAGCGTTAGTAATTTTTATGTGAAATGGTTATATTAATACCAAATACCTAACTTGATAGTTAATAACAAAATGAAACTAAACTAAAATAAGTTAAGGTTTATAATATTAGCATGTCATACATGCGCTATGCTAGATACTCATGGATATTTTATATATGTACATGGGTCATGAAAGTGGTAGATGGTAATAAAATGAATGTTAGACAGTTCCCCAAACTCCAGGGTTCTAGTCCTGTTAAGCCACTAGTTATCACAAGAAAGCAATATTAGCTTTTTGGAGTCTTAGTTCCTTCTTCGTAAAATAAGGAAATTAGAAGAAATAATTCCCTAATGATTTCTCTACTGTTAATGATTTTAAGAATTCATTTTTAAAGGCCGGGCGCGGTGGCTCAAGCCTGTAATCCCAGCACTTTGGGAGGCCGAGGCGGGTGGATCACAAGGTCGAGAGATCGAGACCAACCTGGTCAACATGGTGAAACCCCGTCTCTACTAAAAATACAAAAAATTAGCTGGGCATGGTGGTGCGTGCCTGTAATCCCAGCTACTCAGGAGGCTGAGGCAGGAGAATTGCCTGAACCCAGGAGGCGGAGGTTGCGGTGAGCCGAGATCGCGCCATTGCACTCCAGCCTGGGTAACAAGAGCGAAACTCCGTCTCAAAAAAAAAAAAAAAAAAAAAAAAAGAATTCATTTTTGTTAGCATAAATACAAATTATTGTAACATTCTCATTTATGTTGAACAAAACTTAAAAATTTTTGTTGACCTGAATTTTATGTACACATCATAATAGTCTATAAATTAGTTGCTGTTCAAGTAATACAAATTTTTAATAAGAGCCAAATTGGCCGGGCGCGGTGGCTCAAGCCTGTAATCCCAGCACTTTGGGAGGCCGAGGCGGGTGGATCACGAGGTCAAGAGATGGAGACCATCCTGGTCAACATGGTGAACCCCCGTCCCTACTAAAAATACTAAAAATTAGCTGGGCATGGTGGTGCGTGCCTGTAATCCCAGCTACTCAGGAGGCTGAGGCAGGAGAATTGCCTGAACCCGGGAGGCGGAGGTTGCGGTGAGCCGAGATCGCGCCATTGCACTCCAGCCTGGGTAACAAGAGCGAAACTCCGTCTCAAAAAAAAAAAAAAAAAAACAAATTAAAACATAAGTTGTTAACTAAAGCGAAAGACATTTGAATATCACAAATTCTATTGCAGCCTCAAAAAAATAAATGGGTGGTTTTAAGTAATTAATGTAGACTGTTTTTCACTAGGACAGATTACAATTTTTTTTCTCAGTAATTTTTATTATCTAAAATGAGACTGTAAGCCAGTCATAGTGCCACTTGCCCGTAATCCCAGAGCTTTGGGAGGCCACGGTGGGAGCCCAGGAGTTGGAGACCAACCTGGGCAACATAGTGAGACCCTGTCTCTACAGAAGATTACAAAAAAAATTTTTTAATTACACACGCCTAGAGTCCCAGCTACTCAGGAGGATGAGGCAAGAGGCAGAGAGGATTGTTCGAGCCTAGGAGTTTGAGGCTGCGGTGAGCTGTGATTGTGACACTGCACTTCAGCCTGGTTACGGAGTGAGACCCTGTCTCTTTAAAACAGCATCAACAACCAGAACGACAAAAACAAAAACCCACCAAAAAATCCTCAGGATTCCACAGAGTTGCTACAGGGTTCTACAAATGCTTGATTTTAATTTTAATTTTAAAATAAAATAAAATGAGAGTATATTTAGCAATAGCCAAACTTTATTTTTCATTCATTCTTAGAAGTTTTCATGGAAATAAATTTTTTTCTTTCCTCAGCAAATTGGTAATCAACCAGATTATTCCTGAAGATGATGGTATTTATCAGTGCATGGCTGAGAATAGCCAAGGATCTATTTTATCTAGAGCCAGACTGACTGTAGTGATGTCAGAAGACAGACCCAGTGCTCCCTATAATGTACATGCTGAAACCATGTCAAGCTCAGCCATCCTTTTAGCTTGGGAGAGGCCACTTTATAATTCAGACAAAGTCATCGCCTATTCTGTACACTACATGAAAGCAGAAGGTAAGCAATTTGAGGAATGCTCATTTTTAAGTACTCCTTGTTATCAAGGACTTGTTTTTAGTATGAATAATGCCTTACATAATTCATCTGTGGCAGTTATCTTCTTTAATAAAATAATCTATCACCTATGTATCGTTTTCTAAATTTCATGTTGTTGTGTACTTTGTATATGTCAGTATAGTTTAAGATTTTTCTGTTTAGAAACAATTACTAGCTAATACAAAGCATCACTGCCTGCTTAGAAATTACAAAGTAGTATACTTATGAATTTTATGCCAGACAAGGTATAAATTCCTTAACTGAGACTTAATATGCCAGCTTAAGTATGCAGTTACTTCAGAATAGTGGTGTGACTGTTAATAAACTATGTACACTACAGCATATTATTTTTAAGGGAGAAAGTAAACATTGTCAAATTCCCCATATTTTTGATTTTGCATATTTTGGATGTTTTCTGAAATCCTATAGAACCCTCTGAAAATTGCACAGGACATTGTTTACTACTATCTCATTATGTAAAAGTAGAAATCAAATGTGTCTTAAAATTTTTATTCAGAATTATTGGTTCTATTTTTGGGATTTAAAAGAATTCCTTATATTTTACTTTTAGCAAATATCTTAAAGGGAAAAGAGAAACTATTTATAAATCCTAGAAATTTCTCTGGTGATTTTTCACAGAAACCGTGGCTTGGAAATTTCAGTTCTATATTTAAACAGCCTAGCTTTTGTGGAATATACATTAAAAACAAATTCAAACACCTAACTATGGGGATATAATAAAATTATCCATAGAAACAGGTGGTTTGTTGTTGCTGCTGCTATTTGTTTTTTGTACTTTGAAGTAGTGTTTTGAAAAGGAATATTTTGAATGTAAATCAGGGGTCATGGAAGCAAGAAGAATGAAAGTCTGATAACTGAGCATGCTGGAGTATGTTAATTCCCTTTTTAGTGATTTATGAAGGTAAAAGGAATGCTGGTTTTGGTGGGGACCACTCTTGTTCCCTATTATGGTTGTTTCATTAGAGCCTCCACATGCAGCTCAGTGGTCTATTCAGGAATGAACAAGGCTTTTTAATTCAAACTCAAGGACCTTGTTTGGTAGGTCAGAAATTGTACTATGCAGCTCCTAATTAACAAGCCATTAGCCAGTCTGTTGTGAAATGCCTGTAATCTTGTCTAATTAAAATGCTATCAAGTTAATTCAGAAATGTGGGAAAACTTAACACTGGAATTTGCCTTCTGTTTTGTTTATAAATCCAGTGTGGGGAGCAGGGACTCCGTCTTTAGAGAGATTTGATTAAGTTGACATGCGTTTACTGTGAATTGTTAGCAGAGCACAGTGGCTGCCAATGCTCTTGTTCCACTTTACAGGTTTGCTCTGTAGGAATTAAATCCTACAAAGACAAATCCTCTTCTATACCTTGCCATGCATATTTGATTAAGAATTGCTGAGATTTTTTTTTTTTCTCTTAAAAAAAGACTCACTGTGGGACAAAGCATTTGGAGGCTCATTCTGTGACTCCCAGTTTTTTGTTTTGTTTTGTTTTGTTTTTTGCCTTCAATATAAATAAAAGAACAACTTATGTCAGTCAAATTTAATAGAATCTCTAGCGGCAAAATGAGATCTTTGGCAGGACAACTTTTGGTTTGTTTTGTTTTTATAAAGCATGGAGCCATTGCATTCCCTACTGTCTCTTCATTTATGTTTAAAAGAAAAAAACCCCATGACCAAGTAAAGTTTATGCACTGTTATGAATTACAGTATTCTGTTGTATTAAGCTCTGTTATGTTACTACTGTACATTGTCTGCTTTGAGTTTTGACTAGATGGTAAGTGAACTTTTTAGAGAAGATGAATTTTTTTTTCAGTTTGATTTATTCAGGAAAAATGTCCTCTAGTAATTTGTAGCAAAATATGGTGACTTTTAGAAAATAAAGATCTTCCTTTCCACATTTTGTGAAACGGCACAGAAGATAACAGATTGAGATTAGACCCAACGACCAGTGTTTCACAGTTCAGGAAAATGGTCTTGTTAATTTTATTTTGAATATTTGTCATTTTAAAACATGGGTTTTTTAATTTAGGTTTAAATAATGAAGAGTATCAAGTAGTCCTTGGAAATGACACAACTCATTATATTATTGATGACTTAGAGCCTGCCAGCAATTATACTTTCTACATTGTGGCATATATGCCATTGGGAGCCAGCCAGATGTCTGACCATGTGACACAGAATACTCTAGAGGATGGTAAGAAAACATGATTCTAGATCATTTTAGTATGAACATTCATATGTTTTGTCAATTTCAATGAATAAATGTGTTTTAAAGAAAATAACCTCTTTTTGGTTAAAAAACAGGTATGTTAAATTTGCCATTTAAACTTAAGGATAAAGAGCACTTTTATAATACAAAATTTAATAATAAAATTCTTATATTCTCATTGTATTTCTTCAAAGATTCCTAGTTTAAATTGTAAATTTGTTGCAAAGAACAAAATGTGGGTTTTTCTAGACATGAATAACTGTAATGACCATTGCATATTGAGTGTATGTAGTGACTGAGGGTCAGAGTTATTGGACTTCTGAAACCTGGAGTTCATGTAATTTATCACCTGTCAAAAAATCCTTAGCACTTAGTAACTGTTGATTAAATACAGTATGCCTATACTCCTTAAGGGGGGAAATATTACTTGTTTAGTTTGTTTCCTAACCATTGGTTGAAAATTGAATTGTTCTTTTTGGGGAGGGCAGATGTTTATATTATTCTTATAATGGTGGGAAGATTCATCCATTAAGATAGCCCTAGAGAACTGATTCTCCTTCTCTGACTCTTCATATCATATTGTAAAAGAAGGGATTTCTCTTTCCAGAATCTCTAGAAGACCTTTTTTAGTACCCTTCAATGCGAAAGGGAATTATTTAATATATGCTTAATCATACTGTTCTCCCTTAGCAAATGTTTTATCAACCTCAAGCAATGATCTGCTCTTAGTTTTTAAAACGTTTTTATATAAATAATCCCTAAATCTCCTTTTTTGTTCATTTGGTCCCAGATCTCCTATTTTATCTTTATAATGCCACTTACTTAGGTCTTTATAAAATCAAAGTTAGACTAAATGAAAAAATGTTCACTGATCTGGATATGGAATTCCAAATTTTAGTTTTCATTTAAGAGCCTGTTCCACTTTAGAGTGAGCTACAGTATATATGACATCTCTAGTTAACTCATTAAAATTAACAACCTCTGTTACGCATGTCTAAGGTGAAAAGCAGGCTGATAAAGATAAGAGGTTTTTGTTTGTTTGTTTGTTTGTTTGTTTGTTTTGATATGTGAGATCTCTTCTCCCTCTCTATCCTTAAAGAAAGTGAGTCTCAGCATAGCAGGGAAAGACAGTAAAAGGAGTTATTATTGTTATCCTCATTTTGTGTCTTGAGAAACCTACATACAGAGAAGTTAATATACCCAAGATCATATAGTTGTATGTGGTAGAACAAGGATTCAAACACAGAGAAGCTAACTCTAGAATCCAAGTCTTAACTCTTAGTATTAGACCGCCTGTCAGTGTATTTGACTTATTTTCCTGAAATACCAGTTTTATTAAAATTTTTTGAGGAAAAACTGTTTTCATATTAAACACCATTTGTTTTAATTAAGAATACAAAATTCACGTTAATTGTTAAGATGTAATTCTTTTTTTTTTTTTTTTTTTTTTGAGATGGAGTTTCGCTCTTGTTGCCCAGGCTGGAGTGCAATGGCGCAATCTCGGCTCACCACAACCTCGGCCTCCTGGGTTCAGGCAATTCTCCTGCCTCAGCCTCCTGAGTAGCTGGGATTACAGGCACACGCCACCATGCCCAGCTAATTTTTAGTATTTTTTTTTTTTTTTTTTTGAGACGGAGTTTCGCTCTTGTTACCCAGGCTGGAGTGCAATGGCGCGATCTCGGCTCACCGCAACCTCCGCCTCCTGGGCTCAGGCAATTCTCCTGCCTCAGCCTCCTAAGTAGCTGGATTACAGGCACGCGCCACCACGCCCAGCTAGTTTTTTTTTTTTTTTTGTATTTTTAGTAGAGACGGGGTTTCACATGTTGACCAGGATGGTCTCGATCTCTCGACCTCATGATCCACCCGCCTCGGCCTCCCAAAGTGCTGGGATTACAGGCTTGAGCCACCACGCCCGGCATTTTTAGTATTTTTAGTAGAGACGGGGTTTCACCATGTTGACCAGGATGGTCTCGATCTCTTGACCTCGTGATCCACCCGCCTCGGCCTCCCAAAGTGCTGGGATTACAGACTTGAGCCACCGCGCCCGGCCAAGATGTAATTCTTACAGTCAAAAATATTATTTCCTTGGTTATATAACTCTAGAATCCTAGGCTTCCCCACCATTGTGTAATTCACTCTTCCTTGTTTCAAAGTCCCTTTAGTGGAATTATTTGAGAAGTAGTCTCATATTTTGTATAAATATCAAGTATTGTCATTTTCATTCCAAACAACAGCAAAGCAATCACAACCACAGTGAAGTATATCTTACATTCTTTGTTCCACACACTTAGCCCTCCCTCATTGTTTTTTTCTTCTGTTTTCTGGTTTGCACTGTTACACTGAAAACCTCTGCTAGGGCTGCAAGTATCTTTTCTTTATTACATGTTGCTAATTAAAAGAATTCAGTTACTGGTGTGCTAAGTGGCAATTCAGTTCTAAATATTTATAAACAACCTGTTTTCTTCTATGACTAGTTCCCCTGAGACCGCCTGAAATTAGCTTGACAAGTCGAAGTCCCACTGATATTCTCATCTCCTGGCTGCCAATCCCAGCCAAATATCGGCGGGGCCAAGTGGTCCTGTATCGTTTGTCTTTCCGCCTAAGTACTGAGAATTCCATCCAAGTTCTGGAGCTCCCAGGGACCACGCATGAGTACCTTTTGGAAGGCCTGAAACCTGACAGTGTCTACCTGGTTCGGATTACTGCTGCCACCAGAGTGGGGTTGGGAGAGTCATCAGTATGGACTTCACATAAGACGCCTAAAGCTACAAGTGTGAAAGGTGAATTTCTGAAGACTGTTGAGAAAGGATAATACAGTATTTTCACTCTTGAATCAAGTTTTCTTCTCTAAGTTATGTTTATATTTTTAAATTTTGTTTTACAGACAAAAATATTTCATAGGTGATAGACTTAATTGAAAAAATTAAACTTTTTATTAAGTAGTCATCTTGCATAGAGTTTATTTATGTGTAAACTTTTTAGTTACATTCTTACTTTGCTTAGCACATCCCTCGTGGACACATCAGTCCAAATCAAACTGATTTCCCAGGTAAGATATTCGTAGAGGCCTAATTAATATTATCGCCATATATTTTTAAAATCCTTAGTTCAATAGGAAGACTGTAGGACTGTGAATCTAGATAGATCCTTCTGTTTTACTAATGTGAAATGTAACATTTCTGGTTTGCTTGTTAATTAATTGACTGACAATTGTACCTGTTTTCTAAATCACAGAGGGGTATTGGATGGCCAAAATTAGAAAACGCTGATTGCCTCTTTGAGAAAAAACTTAAATATCCAGATACTATTTATGTATCTTGGTCTTTTTAAGGTGGTATATATTTTACATTTTCATCTCAAAGTTGAATATTATTGTGAAATTTGGAAAGTTAGATTACAGTACAATTATTGGATTGAACTTTTTGGTAACCATTTGCTGAAAACTGAGAGAACTACCCTATTCTGTGTCTTTATGTGGATGATTGGTTGTTTATACATATATTTTCTGATGAATTTTACTAGCCCCTAAGTCTCCAGAGTTGCATTTGGAGCCTCTGAACTGTACCACCATTTCTGTGACGTGGCAGCAAGATGTGGAGGACACGGCCGCCATTCTGGGCTACAAACTGTACTACAAGGAAGAAGGGCAGCAGGAGAATGGGCCCATTTTCTTGGATACCAGGGACCTACTCTATACTCTCAGTGGTTTAGGTGAGTGAGTTTATACTGTGGTTTTCCTTTTTCCTTCCTCTTTGACCAACTGGGAAAAAAGTTATTGGATATAAGACAGGAGAACTGACTTAATGGTACAAAGAAAATAATTGATTTTACTGTATCAGTGTGTTTTTTTTTTTTGTTTTTGTTTTTTGTTTTTTGTTTTTTTTTTGAGACGGAGTTTCGCTCTCAGGCTGAAGTGCAATGGCGCGATCTCGGCTCACCACAACCTCCGCCTCCTGGGTTCAGGCAATTCTCCTGCCTCAGCCTCCTGAGTAGCTGGGATTACAGGCACGCGCCACCATGCCCAGCTAATTTTTTGTATTTTTAGTAGAGACAGGGTTTCACCATGTCAACCAGGATGGTCTCAAACTCTCGACCTCGTGATCCACCTGCCTCGGCCTCCCAAAGTGCTGGGATTACAGGCTTGAGCCACCGCGTCCGGCCTGTATCAGTGTGTATACACAACTGCTGAAGCCGATGATTGGTCTTTGACTTACCGTTGTGAGTCCAGTGGAAAATATCAGGTAGCCATTGTTAACTTTCTCTCTTTGTCCAGGTCTGCAAATCTGTATTTCTTTGTGGAGTTCACTTCTGGTAGATTACAATCCTGATCAATTATTGTGAGTCTGTGGTGGATGTAGAATAGGAATTAAAAGAGGGATATCACCAAATAATACTCAGTGGTTAAGTTTAACTTATAATTTGCCTGAGAGTGCTATATAATTGCTACATAATTATGAATTAGGTATAAAATAATGTCCTTAGATACGACCCATGTAACTGTGAATATTTATGTAGCTCTAACCCAGGAACACTGGAGAAAAAGCACTTAACTTTGTGTTTGAGTTCATCAGTGTTTTGAAAGACACTGTTTTATTCCCTAGTCTTCCTATCTATCTTTGTGGAGTGAATTACATATCTTCCAGGTTGACCTTCCTTAAGCCATTGATACTGAGATGACATTAGCCCAACCGACTGCCACTGGAGCCAGCAACATTTACTCCTAGTCATGGCTTCTTAGTATTCGCATATACTTCGCCCTGCATATTACTAATTCGAAAAATTTTGCTTAGTTATTATATAAGAAACATGATTTGGGACAATTGTTACTGAAGAATCATAGATCAAGCTTAGTACTTCTAATTTACTCACTCCTAAAGAAAACATGAATATACAGAATATACAAAAAATACATTCTTAGTATGCTCTTATACATTACAGGGAGCTTGTTCTAAATAGGTGACTAATTTTTTAGAACAAAAATACTTGGGTTGTGAAAAGTTTAGAGAGACATTTTATTAAAACTTTGGCAAATAAAAGCAGTTCTTCAAAATTTTCTACAGATATATACATATATACATACATACACACACGCATATGTGTGTAAGACCCACTAATCTTTATTGAACTTTTAAAATCATCTCTCAACTATAGTCAACTTTTTTTTTTTTTTTTTTTTTTTTGTCCGAGATGGAGTCTCACTGTGTCACCCAGGCTAGAGTGCAGTGGTGTGATCTCAGTTTACTGCAACCTCTGCCTTCCACGTTCAAGTGATTCTCTTGCCTTACCCTCCCAAGTATCTAGGACTACAGACACACACCACCATGTCCAGCTAATTTTTTGTGCTTTCAGTAGAGATGGGATTTCACCGTGTTAGCTAGAATGGTCTCAATCTCCTGAGCTTGTGATTCTCCCACCTCTGCCTCCCAAAGTGTTGGGATTACAGGCATGAGCCACTGCACCTGGGCTATAATCAACTTTTGAAACCATAAACCTTTATTTTCTCTTATGTTTTAAAAATAAATCCTGTATTACTGCCCTTGTTTTTATGTTGTAACATCCACTGTGTATGCTATTTGAGGTAACTCCATTTAAAATTACTTCTAATGCATAAACTGGAAAATTATTTTTTGGATATATTATGTCTATTAACATAGGTGCGTGTTTCTGGACTGTGGAATTAGATTGAGTGTTTGAACTGCTTGCAGTTCAGAATAACAGACACCTCTTGGAGCTGTAGAGACTTTCTTGTTAGACAGCAGGTTCCACACCTCTGCAGCTGCCGAGTCACGGCTGGAATGGCTGACGAGCAGAGATGCAGTTGTGTGGATTCAAGCATTGTGCAGCTGTTGACTGGATCACCTTTAGGTGCCTTTTAATCTTGAGACCCCTATGGTCTAGTCTTCCTTTCCTAGAAAGTCCGTGTTGGGGCCTTGCCAAACTTATAGCAGTCAAATATGTTTAACTCACTAAGCAGGCAAGTCTTAGCACCTATCTTTTCCTTCTTACTTTTGATTATTGGGAGGGGAGTATGTTCTGTTAACTGGACAACTGGCCATCTGTGACCATTTTTAGTGAGAGCATCTGGCAGTAGCTGCCTGTTTAACAGAGAATGATGTGTCTAGAGGGCAGTAGGTTAAGGGAATCCTATCTGTGTCTTGCATGGTGAATAGTTGCTTTCACTGAGCCTTTGCACATTAAAGATACTCTAACTGGAAGTAGATTTGCTAAGTAGCCTTGGAAATGAAATTTAAATGCGTCTGTTTGCTGATTAAATGTCAATTTGAGTAACAAACTAGTGTCTCGAAATTTCGTTTTCATACTAATCCCCTTTCTGATGCCTTTATACACATCTTTTTGTTTTCACTTCCAATAATTAAGTTTTCAGTTTAAAAAGTATGTTATTGTGACATAGTCTCCTTGGTAATACACACAGTTTTTTGTTTCTAGAAGACAGAAAAAGATGAATGAACTTACATATTTCAATTAATTGAATAAGCATTTTCAAATATTTTTCTGAGACATTGTAGTACTACATAAAAAGATGTAACATCTGCTTAAAACAAGAATTATTAAGCCAAAAGACATCTAATTGATGTTTTCCAATATCTGCACAAATTTCTAATGAATTAAATTTAATTATATTTAATAATGAAAGTTATTTTAGAACTTTTTACTCTCAAACCTCAAAGCTCAGTTTGAGATGTAGAGTTGTTTTTTTTTTTAAGTAGCTAAAAACATTATTGTGTCTTTCACAGTATAATATAAATTTTAGTAAAGTGATGGAAATATTTTGATGTTAACTTGTTTGATTTTAATGACTTTAAAATATAGCTTGATTAGGCAACACAACATATCTACAACCATCCGATCTTTGACAAACCTGACAAAAACAAGCAATGGGGAAAGGATTCCCTGTTTAATAAATGGTGTTGGGAAAACTGGCTAGCCATGTGCAGAAAGCAGAAACTGGACCCCTTCCTGACACCTTAAAATTAAAATTAACTCCAGATGGATTAAAGACTTAAACATAAGACCTAACACTATAAAAACCCTAGAAGAAAATCTAGGCAAAACCATTCAAGACATAGGCATAGGCAAGGACTTCATGACCAAAACACCAAGGGCATTGGCAACAAAAGCCAAAATAGATAAATGAGACCTAATCAAACTCCACAGCTTCTGCATGGCAAAAGAAACGTCATTAGAGTGAATTGGCAACCAACAGAATGGGAAAAAATTTTTGCAGTTTACCTATCTGACAAAGGGCTGATACCCAGAATTTACAAAGAGCTAAAAGAGATTTACAAGAAAAAAATAACAATCCCATTCAAAAGTGGGCAAAGGATATGAACAGACACTTTACAAAAGAAGACATACATGAGGCCAACAAACATGAAAAGATGCTCATCATCACTGGTCATTAGAGAAATGCAAATCAAAACCACATTGAGATACCATCTCACGCCAGTTAGAACGGCGATCATCAAAAAATCTGAAGACAACAGATGCTGGAGAGGATATGGAGAAATAGGAACACTTTTATACGGTTGCTGGGAGAGTAAATTAGTTCAACCATTGTTGAAGACAGTGTAGCAATTCCTCAAGGACCTAGAAATAGAAATTCCATTTGAGGCCAGGCGCGGTGGCTCACGCCTGTAATCCCAGCACTTTGGGAGGCCGAGGCGGGTAGATCACGAGGTCAAGAGATGGAGACAACATGGTGAAACCCCGTCTCTACTAAAAATACAAAAAATTAGCTGGGCATGGAGGCATGTGCCTGTAATCCCAGCTACTCAGGAGGCTGAGGCAGGAGAATTGCCTGAACCCAGGAGGCGGAGGTTGCGGTGAGCCGAGATCGCGCCATTGCACTCCAGCCTGGGTAACAAGAGCAAAACTTCGTCTCAAAAAAAAAAGAAATTCCATTTGACCCAGCAATCCCATTACTGGGTATATATTCAAAGGATTATAAATCGTTCTACTATAAGGACACATGCACACAAATGTTCATTGCAGCACCGTTTACAATAGCAAAGACCTGGAAGCAACACAATTGATGATAGACTGGACAGGGAAAATGTGTCACATATACACCATGGAATATTATGCAGCCATCAAAAACAATGAATTTGTGTCCTTTGTAGGGATGTGGATGAACCTGGAAACCATCATTCTCGGCAAACTGACACAAGAGCAGAAAATCAAACACTGCATGTTCTCACTCATAGGCGGGTGTTGAACAATGAGAACATAGGGAGGGGAGCACTACACACTGGGATCTGTTGGGGGTAAATGGGGGAGGGACAGTTGGGGGTAGGGAGTTGAGGAGAGATAGCATGGAGAGAAATGCCAGATATAGGTGATGGTGAAGAAGGCAGCAAATCACACTGCCACATGTGTACCTATGCAACAATCTTTTTTTTTTTTTTTTTTTTTGAGACGGAGTTTCACTCTCGTTGCCCAGGCTGGAGTGCAATGGCACGATCTCGGCTCACTGCAACCTCCGCCTCCTGGGTTCAGGCAATTCTCCCGCCTCTGCCTCCTGAGTAGCTGGGATTACAGGCATGGGCCACCATGCCCAGCTAATTTTTTATATTTTTAGTAGAGACGGGGTTTCACCTTGTTGGCCAGGATGGTCTCGATCTCTCGACCTCGTGATCCACCCGCCTCAGCCTCCCAAAGTGCTGGGATTACAGGCGTGAGCCACTGCGCCC